CAATATTGCATTGTGCTCCTATACTTCGATTAGCTAATTTCGTCAATCATGGGTTATCATGTGACACTGCACTATATCTTCCTGATACCCCTGTAATAGATGCACCTTAGTAACCACCATCATCATGCATACATCGATGCAGTAATCCTGCCTCACCTTTATGCAGTCTACGTCTATTAATTTGAACTTTATCTTCCGCCTATCCGCAAACTAGCGGATAGCAGCAATGCTGTGTGGTATAAATGGACACCACCACATTTCAGTAAGCAACTGCAGGTTAGATGGTCTGCTCAGAAGGTCCGCACTTGTGGCCCGTTTTTCTGCTACGTTGCGCCCGTCCATATGCACTCTATTCACTGCTAGCTAGGTGGCACTGCCATGCTAGGTGATCATGGGTTTCTCACCGAACCCAAAGGCATTTTTATTTCCAGATAAGCATCTCCTGCACGATAACTGCCTAAATATGCACAACCTCAGTACCACTTGAATCCGTAAGTCAACTTTGCGTTACATCTATGCGAATTGTTTTCCTTTGTGCATTTGACACAATTTGCCACACATCGTTCCTCAATGCTTGCGCGTTGCGGGCCTACAGCTCAGAAAACGCTGTCCATAATATCGTGACTATTTGGAATCGATAGAAACGGCCGCCTTGAAGTTCATGGCATGTTTCCCTTTTATTATCGCGGGATTATGCAGCAATAGGGCTGCCAAACATTTGTAATCCATGATCCATGAACCGAAATTAAATTTGAGCTGCGTAAAATTTGTACCATTCACATTGATAAAACCCATTCCATTCCTGCTTATATGGACACAGTGAACAAAGTTCATGGAGGCGTTTGAAGTTTGAAGTATGTTTTATTAGCGGCCGTACTGATAACAACGCTGTGCCGCCAACGTGAGCTCAATAAACGCTGGTCACGAACGTCTATGGAGCCAACGATATCCGCTACGCTGGTAACCATAATGAAGCAGATACAATGGGGCAAATATAGGATAATTGCGAATAAGTCTAGAAGGCATGTGCAGCCAATATTTGTAGCTTACCTAGTGGTAATATTGATGTCACTGTCTTGGGACTATATGGAATAAGTAACTACCGTACATGGAAGCTCGTAGAGCTACCGGCAATATTGATGTACCTCTGTTGGACATACTTTGGCTCACGCTAGTGAAGCTAACATGGAGACCGGTTAATTTGCGAGCATGCCGCCCCTGTTATGAGACATATAATACTTCTCCGTGCACAGGTCATGCGAGCGGGTCAACCAAGGGAGTCTCCTTGAGTGCCGACCGTAATGCCACATCTCTGGCAGTTATATAGGCTTACTAAGAACACAACAAATTGGCATGCATATTCAACTATATAGCATCATGTCTCCCATTACGTGCAACATGCCGCGTCCCTGTACTTCATACATGCGTGCTCCAATAAATGACCACATTGGAAAAGTAAGTATGCAGGGACCTGCTTCACGTTTATTTGGGAGTAGCTTGTCTACCGCGCTTCTTACTCACCTTCTTGCCCGCATATTACACGTTGTTATTTGTCTACCGCACTGCAGTACCCCCATGTTTACAAGTGAGTGGTGCGGCTTCCGTCGAATATATTCAGATTAACGATGCTCGCTCATGCCACCGCAATTTACTGCCTACTCCGCATAAAGCATAATCGGCACGCAGGTATCAAAACTGCTAGTCATGAAGTTCGCGTGCCTCGGGTTAGTCCGCACTGTTAACTGCCTCCGCTTTCCAATTATTTCGTGAGCGACTCGATGCTCCTTTTCATGATCATCGTACGTCCAATAGCCCTGTGGCGAGTTCTTATAATCCGTAGTGCTCACTCGTATGCTTGCATGCACCTCACCACTCTGCCGCTAGTTCCGTGGATGCGTCGGTAGTCGTAGACCACCTTCACTAACGCTCTGTTACACTTCCGGTTCTTAAGCATAACCCTTCTGTGCCGTGACCGAAAACCAACAACCATTTTTCAGTATTGTCGCTTTGCAAGTTATTTGCACTTTGAGCACTCAGAACTCAGACGACGGCAGTCCCGTATTGTTCGAATATCGGTTACCACACCCAAAAGCAGCCACAATAATACATAAGCCTTGATTCGTTGTGGACGTTGTTAATCATGCACAACCCTTCAAATTGCATTCAATTCGGTATCGCCAACGCGAAATTAAAAAGTGCGCGCCTGAACTCTTCGGTAAGTTACCCGTTGAGTTACAATTTTTGCATAATGACGATTCGTCACACCGAGTTCATGCGTGTACTACTGCGCCAAGCAATGCTATATGGATCACAAGTTCCATTATACAATGAGTGTACATTATCCTACAAATTATTACACATCAATTTATTCCGTGTGCTTCCACGGTGGCACCTTAAACAGCTTTCCGCTTACATAATATAAATGTTTACGTACCTAATTAAATTTTGTAAAACGTTCAGTGAATGTTGCTCACCCGAAGTCAGTACACATGGCTACATTGCATTTGGCAATTGCATGTGGCAACAAGTTTGCTGATGGCCTTTTATTATGTCGCATGATGATTACCAGTGCTGACATTCAAAGAAAGTATTATGACACGATACATAGGGAAGGCCCGCAGTTACCGATCAAGGAATGTTTTACCACATTTCCTAATTTAACTCACACTTGCAAACATCCATATATATTTCATTAACAAAATGTACGTCTAACTATATGGACAAGTTACCATCGTTTATATATATATATATATATATATATATATATATATATAACGCCCATGTTGTGGCTGATGTTGCATTCTTGATGCTAGTTCATCGAGTTTGGCTAAACCAACTTACACTTAAACTAGTTCTTTTACGCTGGCTACATTTCATTCCATTTTATTTGTTTTGTTCTGCCTATCAGAATATTTATTTATTTATTAGACTTTCGTCCAAAATTATATATTTATGTATGTATTTAATTGCTTTCTAATATTATCATTTCACTTAGCATATAAAAATGTGGCATGCATAATTAAATATACGAATATATATATGCCTTTCGGAAGATATCCACATACAATATGGGATATCTGGTATTTAGTTTTAACTGCACTTTGTAGGACTAGTCAATACTAGTCCGAGACGATGCGCGGAATTAAGCGCGGATATCAGAAGGCAATTGGAGTCGGACACAGCGGACTGTATTCGATGGGCTACAACGATAAGCGGACGGATGAAGCGAGGCAAGAGCGTACACGTGAGCGCGGGGACTTACAAGGCAGTTGTGTGTCGAGCCGGTTGTAAGATTAAAACAAGAAGGAGTAATGTACAATCGGTCAACAAGTAAATTGTACACGAAAGATAAGAGTTATCTTTTTGGGCGCTACAGAGCTCCCCCCCTAGAAGGCTGAACATAGAAAGCCTTCGAAATCGAAAAGGAATGTCGAAACGAGGTTCGTAAGGCGAAATCGTGCCGAGTAAAAATGGATGAGCGTTCGTGTGAATGGGGGTTCGTCGGAAGTCGGAGTCCGCTGTGCCGTGTATGATTCGTTATTTATTGAATGCAGGGCAGGGTGCATTTCGGCGAGCCGTTGGAGCGGGCTTGTCGGACTACAAAAAAACTGGCTAGCCCAGAAAAAGGCCGACAGGACCTCAACCTCCGCTGCTGCCAAACGGTGCGCTTGGGAGTGGTCTCTCCCCCGCCGCACCCCGCCCCGCGCCAAAACGACCCTCGTCCCACGAAGAAAACGACCATGGTCCCACGGAGAAGCGACCCTCGTCTCGTGGAGAAGCGATCCTCGTCCCGCGAAGAAATGACCCTCGTCTTGCGGAGAAGTGACAGTCGTCTCGCGGAGAAGCGATCCTCGTCCCGCGAAGAAGCGATCCTAGTGTCGCGGAGAAGCGATCCTCGTCCCGCGGAGAAGCGACCAGTGTTCGCGTCAGGGTCCTCGTGTGGGCCAGTCGATCGAAGGGGAGGGTTGGGGCATGTAAGGACGAGAAAATAGAAAAACACGCGCAGAAAACGCCAAAAAGAACAAACAAATGATCTGCGTGTTTTAACATTTTTTTGGTTTTTGAATATTTTTTTTGGAAAAGGTTTTTCGGGGGTTTTTGGTATGTTTGTTTGTTTTCAAAACGTTAATCGACCAAAAATGAGACAAATATATACAATATCTACAAAGTTAAAAGTATTTACACTGTACATAGTCGGAGAAGCGAACAGGCTTACGTACCTCCCGACCACGGCGATTGGTCGTGGGAGGCGGCGGACTAGGTTCGGGTGATGTCGGGACCGCTGAAGCTTGCAGACCGTGATCGTGGTCTGGTTGGACTTCATTAGCATGCGGAAAACTGGTACGGTGAGTTGTGACGTCGCACGAGGCACTACTAGACGAAGTAGGCGAGGTAGTCTCTTCCATAAAGGCGGGTTTCAGACGGTCGATGGTGACGACTTCGTGTCGACCACCGCGGTCAATAGTGTACGCCTTACTCGCACGATGCAGCACCTTGAAGGGTCCTATGTACGGCGACTGAAGAGGCTGTCGAACACCGTCTGCGCGAAGAAGGACGTGTGAACAAGTAGAGAGCTTCTCGGGCACGTACACTGGTGTCTTCTGCGATCGAGGAGCGGGTGGACGTAACTCACGCATCTGGTGAGCCAATCGGTCAGTGTAACTTCCGTCGTCAAAAGTGGAAGTACATGGGGCTGGTGCCACCAACTGTCCGGGCAACCGCAGCGTGCAACCGTACACTAGCTGCGCTGGTGTGGCGTCGAAATCGGTTTTAACAGTGTTTCTTAAGCCTAGAAGAACAAGGGGAAGCTTTTCAAACCATGAAGGATCTGCGTGCGCACGTAGCGCTGCCTTCAACTGGCGGTGAAAACGCTCCACCATGCCGTTAGCTGCCGGATGATACGCTGTAGTCTGAACGTGGCCACAGCCTAAATCCTTAAGCAACATGGCAAATGTCGACGAGAAATGTGACCCTCGATCGGTGGTCACGATGGCAGGACAGCCGTATTGAGCCACCCAGCGCTCCATAAAAGCTTTCGCTACTGTTTCCGAGGAGCAATTTGGGATGGGGACGGCCTCAGGCCATCTAGTAAATCGATCGATGCAGGTCAGTAGATATACCGAGCCTTTGGAAGGCGGTAGAGGACCTACGAGGTCGACGTGCACGTGATGAAAACGTGCGTCTGGCGTCGGAAACGTGCCTAATGGGCTTCTCGTGTGCTTGTGCACCTTCGCGCGTTGACACGGAAGGCAAGCAGCTGCCCAAGTACGGACGTCCCGATTAACATTGCGCCAAACGAATCGTGCGGTTACGAGTTTAACCGATGCACGAACGCCTGGATGAGACAAGCCGTGCAACGTGTCGAACACGGTCTGCCGAAACTCGCGTGGGACGACGGGGCGCGGCGTGCCCAGAGACAGATCGCAGAGTATAGTGCCGTCGGATGATGTCAGCGGAACGGGTCGTATGTCCAATGAGGGAGACCTGCGTAGTAGATCAACCTCAGGGTCGTTGAGTTGCGCTGTAGCCATAGCTGCCAAGTCGATAGCAGTGCCGGCGTCAGCGGAGATAGCTTGGATACGAGAAAGTGCATCGGCGACGGCGTTGTGCACACCTGAGACATGCCGTATATCGGTCGTAAACTGAGCGATATAGTCAAGGTGGCGCGACTCTCTAGGAGAGTATCGGTCGGTAGTCGAGCCGAGCACGTAAGTTAGGGGTTTGTGGTCGGTGAAGACGATAAAGGAGCGGCCTTCTAGGACGTGTCGAAAGTGACGTATCGCTAGATACACGGCAAGTAGTTCACTACCGAACGTGCTGTAGCGAGATTCGGTAGGTTGTAGGCGTTTGGAGAAAAAGGCTAAGGGTTGCCACGTGTCGGCTACGCGTTGCTGCAAAACAGCGCTGACCGCGACGTCCGAGGCGTCAGTACTAAGGGACAGTGGGGCGGTCGGATCGTGATGCGCTATGGAAGCTATGTCGGCGATAGCCTCTTTCAGCGACTTAAAAGCAGCGCGTGCTGCGGTAGGAAATTCGAACGTCTTGAGTTTCCCTCGGAGAAGGTCCGTGAGGGTTTACCAATTTGTAGGACTAGTCAATACTAGTCCGAGACGATGCGCGGAATTAAGCGCGGATATCAGAAGGCAATTGGAGTCGGACACAGCGGACTGTATTCGATGGGCTACAACGATAAGCGGACGGATGAAGCGAGGCAAGAGCGTACACGTGAGCGCGGGGACTTACAAGGCAGTTTTGTGTCAAGCCGGTTGTAAGATTAAAACAAGAAGGAGTAATGTACAATCGGTCAACAAGTAAATTGTACACGAAAGATAAGAGTTATCTTTTTGGTCGCTACAACTTTCACACCGTTAAACATACCCTTGGCTTTATGCATTATATATCATGCAAGGACTACTCATCATTAAGTTTGCACGGCCTACTCAAAGTATGCATGATGGAAGGCCGTCACATTAATAATTCGAAATGAATTTCGCGTCAATAATTTGCAGATACTACAACACATTGCACAACTGTACACCGCGCGTTAGTTCACATTACCCTTGTTACTTTTTCAGCAGCTAATTTATGCCGATCATTTAGTAGTTCTTTGTACTTCACATTTGGATTTTACAATTTCCTGTAATTTATTGCATATTTCATAATAATAACGCTTCTCGACTTCCTTCACCGGTTGACATACAAAAACACTACCATTTCCATTTCCTTTTCCTGCATGATTTCATTTATTTCGCCTTGCAAATTCCCTGAGTTCCCCTTTGCAGCAAAAGATATTTATAAGAAATCATCAACAATCAACAATCACAGCACACCACGCGAGGAAAACCTGAATTATACGTTTCCTACAATGTTTTACCACATTTTCATTCATATTATTCTTGAAATAGGCTTGCATATATCACACGACTAACATAATTTCCCCTTTAACAAGCCCTTGAAATACAAGTACTTCGCTACAATTGCTCGGTTTGGACTTTTGGGGACAGGTTACCAAGGTTACAGTAAACTACTTTACTGCAAACGTTACATTGTTGTGACACTTTATAAACATAAACGCTGCATTCCTTGTTATAATGGAAACATTAGTAAGCAATTCCTAAGTCTCGCAATGGCCCTCTTGTTGCCTACTCTTCCATTTCCCCTCGGCCCGTAACAAAATCTTCGCCATTGGTTAGAGCATAGCTCCCATTCTAACCAAATTGTTATGGGTATAAGCTGGTAAGGGTGCTATGGTTCGCTAGGCTAGAAGTTGGTTAGGTTGAAAGTGAAGATAAAAATGCATAAAAGGTAGATGTACATGGCTAATACGTCTAGGTGAGGAAATAAATCAATGGCAGAAATAAATACTCTGTGGTTATTCAAGTGGATAACAATGGACAATAAATCGCGGTGGCGCCACGTTAAAAGCGATAAGCACGGCAGGCGATATGACCACGTTTTAGCGTTTGTTGCGTTCTTTTTTCCTTAAATTTGAAGACGTGGAGGAGCATGTGAAGAAATTTTAAGTAGCGGATGCGAGGTACTTCTACAAGCGACAAGTGTTGACTATTCCTGTCTTAAAAATTGGCCAGTAAGTAACTTCCTTACGGATGGGTAAACATTTAACTCGGTTCTATCAGTTTTAGGAGCGCTGTCATCAGGATGAGCGTTTATCGACCTACCGTCAAACGTTTTCATCGTCCCGTCGCTGAACCAAGCGGAAAATGCATCGTTCGAATCCTGTTTTTGATGTTTCTCTCGCAAACAATGAAGGGCATTAAACGAGGTCTGAGAGAAATGCGGTTGGCCACGTTCGACGTTTATTTGTGCATACTCATTTCAGCCTCTCACCACCTGGAAGAAGCCTATGCAAAAACATGAACATACAATGACCTTATTGCTATGCTTACTCTTCCTAGTATAAACGCAAGAATTGATTATCACGTCGATGTGCTGGGAGCCCTTCTCGCTGATTGGAACAAGAAACGGGACGCTGATTAAGCCAAGGCGTAATTTGTCCCTGGATGACCTATCCTGATCCTTTGAGGTTTCTAAAGCCATGGATTTTTACTCGTCTTTTGCTCGCTGTACACTAAGCAGCTACTCGCAGCTTACTCGCAATTAATCATTTGCAAAAGAGCATTTACTTTGACTTCTTGTCAGTTAATCCCTTCGGTGGAACTTGTCTGTGTGCCTTCGGTTTCTTGGTTGTTGTGCCTCTGCATGTTCTCAAAGAACCTATCGTCACATGCTTGTGATTCACGTCGACGAAGGCAACCATTGTCGACCGAAGCTGCATTGGCAAGTTACGTCCTCACGCATTAACACGGTGTATTGCCTAGGGCTACTTTGCACTTGATACCTACCATCGGACAAGTCCTTCACTCTCACCTTTTCGCTTGCGTACTGGCATCACAAGCGCATACTTGCGTGCCCAGAAAACTGATTCTCAGCCCGTCCAAGGCTATCAAAGCGAGTCTAATGGGTGCTCAGACAAGTCCGTTTTGCACAATAATTATTCCACTGGGATTATGCATCAAGCAGGCAGTTAACCACCGCGGTAAACAGGCCTAATGACGACGTTCACTCCGAAACGCCGTTCTTTAAATGCCTATTTTTGTTCTCCTTGCGGTTTGTTGAATGACAGCCGAACCAACAAGTTGAGATCAAACCGTGCGCAGCGCATGATGTAACAAACGGCAAGCAAATCCTAACTAAGTACCTGTGCGAATCGGCGTTTCGCGCTTTATTGGCCGGCAAGCCTTGACAAACAACCAAGAGCTCCCGGCGTACTCGCTGCTTAATAAGCAGCCTGTCCGTTGCACTTTTCGTGGATAACCCGCTGCAGTGACGGTTGTCATCCCTCAGTAAATGGAGACGGCACAATACAATCCGCGCAGAGGGATACACTGTTTGAAATGTATGGACCTCGTCTATGCACTTATCAATCACCCCCGTGCTTGCGGTTGCATTCGCTGGTAACATGAGGCGCATGTTGCGCCATGCGTTCCTATAGGACGCGGTTGTCTCATTCGGAAGCAACACGTAGAAAAAGGAAGGTCAATACCATGTTCACCTGCCACCGTGCAGTGCCACAGTATGTATCCACCGCAGTTCAACTGGTGTGTTGCATCCGCCAGCGTTACCTCACTATATGCTCTACAATGTCACGTACGGACTTGGGAGCGAAAACTAAGAACCGTACCTCCGATTTCCCTATACGCCACATTACATTGACCTGAGCTCTCAAGCAACTGTATAAACGCTTCAACTGAGTTCCCCTCCACCTTCCCCTCATCTTATGTCTTAGGATTCGGAGGTTGTAACGGTTCAATCTTCCACCAT